CAGTGTCACTGGCCCTCATATGTGGGATCCGAACCGGGGCCCTCTGGCGTCCCAAGCCAGTTCTTAACCATCGCGCCACTCGGCCGGCCCTATTTTGAGATCTTTTGAAAATATACTTTCCAGCCCTTTCTGATTTCAGGAGGAAGACACATGGTGGCCATCCATTGTGACTAGATGGGTTCTGGTCTTCTGCCTGCTTTCCTTCTACTCCCCCCTTGTCCTGTGCTCACGTCTAACACGCTCTTTGAGGATGAAGGGAGGAATAGAAGAGCAAAAATTCAATTCACATCTGTGTTGTGAAAGTTAATCGTTTGCTGCCATGACATATAAATGACCTGAAAAGGTAAACTGTGCCTGACTCCCTGTGTGAATTACAAGACTTGGTAATTAATGGCCTTTCTGAAGGCAAAACGTCTTATTGAAAATAATCGATCAACCCTACTTGTAAAAATGTCAATGGGAACTTTTTTTTTTTGAAGTGCTCAGGTAGCTAAAGAACTCTGGCAACAGTTGTGTTACTGCTGGCCTCTTAGTAAGTCTGCCAAAAACTTCGCAAGCACACAAGTTGACCCTCTCTGGTTTGTCAGTTGTTTGAAGGCCTTCTTCTTCCTTTTGTCAATTACTTAGCCAGTGGAGTGCAGAGCATCCCGAATGATAGTCCTGCCGGTGGCGAGGGCACGCATCCTGAAGAGGGAGGCTTTGCTCTGGATGACGATTCTGATGGGGAGCCCAATACCTGGGAGCTTTCAGAAGGCGTGTCTGGCTGTCCGTCCAAGGAACAGGCTGCTGATCTCTTTAATGAGGACTGGGACTTGGAACTGAAAGCAGATCAAGGGAATCCCTATGGTAGGTATGGAATTTCTGGGGCCCCAGGCCAAGGTTCGAGACCCTCCCAGATTACCTCTAAAGGCAGACACTTTGGAAGACGGACCCATACCTGTGAGCTTAGCTTGGTACCTGTTACAGATCTATGATGTCTGTGACAGCTTCTCTTCCATATTGAAATATATATATATATGAAAATTTTGCATTTGACTCCATAATGATCAGTTTTATCATTAGCACAATACTCCTCTCTCCAAATATCTGTGTGAATTGAGAAGCTGCAGACAGAAGTGCTCTGTTTTCCAGCTGCTTCCTCTGCACTGAGAACATTTGGCTGCGCAGCACAGCTATGGGTTGCCTCAGAAAGAACATGCTTGCAATTCTTCAGGAAAGGAGGACTAGGAGTGTATTGTGTATGTGTTTTTAGTGTATGTGTTTTTAAACAAAAGTGCACGTGTCTGTCCCCTAGACATTTGTTGTCTATTTATTTCCGCCTTCCCTTCTTCCTTTAATCTGTCTTTTAAAACTGCCCGCAGATGCTGACGACATCCAGGGTTGCATTTCTCAAGAGGTCAAACCGTGGGTGTGCTGCACCCCGCAAGGAGATATGATCTATGACCCCAGTTGGCACCACCCACCTCCACTGATACCCCATTATTCCAAGATGGTCTTTGAAACGGGACAGTTTGATGATGCTGAAGACTGAGTGCAGCTTTTTGCCTGGCAGGTGGGTGGGCCTACAGATCAAGGTCACTCTTCCCTTCTGTGAGGTGAGATGTCATATCTGAGGAAACATTCCCAGCGTTCCCCGGGTCGGGCACACAGACTGATGTGAAATAAGGTCCCACGGTCCCCTAGTTCTGTTGTTGTTTTTAATGATCTCCTCCTTGGATGTGTGAGTGTTTTGTGTCTGTGTCAGGAGGAGGACTTGTGCTCTTTATAAATAAAGGTAGAAAAAAAAATCAATGTGCTTTTGTCTGCTTTCCCCCCCCTATTTAATTAGATATTTCTGAGCAAAGCCTTACTCCTTCATTTAGAGTCCCTGACTTACATTTTAAGGATTGGAGTACTGGAGATTCAAATTACTCTGTGAAAGGAAATACTTTTTTAGTTTTGCGTCTGTAGATCTGGCACTATTCGCCACGGAGACATTGGTTACTTTGTGCCTGATTTCTTTTCCTGTTGATGGAAAACTGACCATTTACTTAGCTAACTTTCTGTAGGCTAGAAAACTAAAGGGCAAATTAATTAAACCAGCAATTGTATCATCCTCAGTTGTCATGAAAGGATTTAAAAACTATTTTCTCTTTTTTTAAAAAAGATTTTTATTGGGGAATTGGGGGGATGGGAACAGTGCTGGGGAATTGGGGAAGGGGAACAGACAAGTTGCTGTCCTTTTGTTCTTCAGTCTAGTTGTGGAGGACGTTGCTTCACTGGCCCAAGTTGGCACCATCATTGCGCTCTTCCAGGGTGAGGCAGATCAGTCGCCGGCTTCTGGATGGCCACTCACTGCGGCTGCTGGCTGCTCACTGCGGCTGCTGGCTACACACAGTAGCCCATGGCAACCCACTGCCACAGGGGCTGCAGCCTACGCCATCGCCAGCGACTTGCAGCAGCCCAGCTCCAGGTTGAGCTGCTGTTCAGCATCTTAGCTGTGGAGGGCAGTGTCACTGGCCCTCATATGTGGGATCCGAACCGGGGCCCTCTGGCGTCCCAAGCCAGCTATTAACCAACGCACCACTCGGCCAGCCCAAACTATTTTCCATTTGATGTTTTAATCCTTACAATTACCTACATGAAGTCACTGTGTTTTAAAATTTTACCTCATTGTAGAGATGAGGAAAATAAAACTCCAAATATTGACCTCTCCAAGATGACACAGCCAAGAAAAGGCAGAACTGGATCCTAAGCCCACATGTGACTGAAGTCTGCTGTCTTGATTGGTCCTGCCAGAGGTGGGATCTGGGGGCCATTCCTGGGCAGGTCTGTGATGCATCAAACTAAGTCACCCTGGCCTTTTTGGCAGGCTTAGGGATTGCTTCTCACCTGCCTGCCTCCTTATGGAAGCTGAATCCAGAAAAAGTTTCAGGTCTGAAGTCTTGAGTCAATTCCATAGCAGTAAAGCGAACATTTAGTCATTTAAACTATTTTTCAGACGTCCTACAAAGTGTGGACGAGGAAGGCAGTGGCTTTGGTTGTGAGGGACCTCATGGCCAAGGCTGTCCTAGGGAGACGAAGTGTTCCTTTCACTGTCCTTGCTGAGGGGACAGCCGTAGACCACATATCGCCACACTGCCCTTTCCTTCCCCCTCCCAATGCCATAGCTGATAAGATGCATGAAAATAAGCCTGTCTGCTGTGATCAGGTGAACTTGAGAAACTGAGCCAAGAAACTGTGGGGGCTTGAGGAGGAGGGCAGTATTGCTGAATGGGAAGGCTGTGTTACTGATGGGTTATGCTGGCCTGTGTGTGAGCTGAAACAGGAAATGCAAGGGTCACGAGGTGGGGAGAGTCCAAGGTGGGCAGCATATGTCTGTGTCCTGTGCTCAAGTAACAGGAAAGGATAGTCACAAGATGGTGCTGCTGTGACCCACGGAGCAGCTGTGAATCTAGGACTCGCTCTTGCTTTTTAGAAGCTAATCGTTGCGGTTTCGCCTGGTTATTTCCAGACAAGTGGGTGGGAGAGAAGTAGGGTCTGCGGGAACAGGGACATAGGAAACTATTTTTTTACAGTTAAAGACATCAGAAGGGCCTTAATGGCTGAACATTGGGTATGTCAGGATAACAAGAAAAAGGAGGGGCGTTAGTCAATTGTTCTGGTTTACATATTATTCTGATGCCCCTCATAGGATGAATCGAGCATAGAGAAAGATCTAGAAGGATAACTCCCCAGTCTGTGACTTTGGTCATTATAAGGGGGTGAGTAGTGTAAGGAAAAAGGTAGTGAAATGGAAAAATACTAATGGTATAATAAGTGAAAACATAGACTGGAAAACTACTCTGATAATACTGCAAATATAAAAAAATTACGTGACTGATAAGGATTAATATGAACAAATGGAAACAATTTGATGACATGTTGGCGGTGTAGGCTGTTTGCCTTTATATTTTTGTTAATTTAATAATAGATTTTACAATTAAGTGTTTAGAATAAAGACATAATGTTATTCAGAGACAGAGTTGCCTCCTCTGCCGAGTCTTCCCTGCTCTCCGACAAGCGTCACAACATTTGCGTCACTGCTGCAGCCACTGACTTCTGGGTCTGCCTCCCTCTTGAGGGCGAGGACTCTGGGTGCAGGGCCCCATCTCACTCCTCAGCAGCCCTGTTTCACAGCATGGATGGAGCGCAGCATGAAATTGTTCAGTCAATATTGGCACAAATTCTTCTTTTTTTTTTTTTTAATTGGGAAATTGGGGAAGGGGAGCAGCCAAGTTGTAGTCCTTCAATCATAGTTGTGGAGGGCGCAGCTAGCTCAGCTCCAAGTCCAGTCGCCATCTGGCTGCCCGTTCAGCTTAAGGTGCCGTGTTCAATCTTAGTTGCGGGAGTTGGGGAGTGGGCACATCCCACCATCCCACGCGGGAGTCAAACCGGCAACCTTGTTAGGAGCACGTGCTCTCACCAGCTGAGCCATCCTGCCACCTGTTGGCAGCTCAGCGGCAGCTCAGCTCGGGCGCAGCTCATTGGCCCATGTGGGAATCGAACCGGCGACCCAGTTGCTCAGAGCTAGCGCTCTTAATCAACTGAGCCACTCTGCCGGCCCCAATATTGGCACAAATTCCACTTGGTAATAGTGCAGTATTTGCCTTGGCTGTATTTGGGGTTGGCTGATAACATCCCAGGCTGGTGATGAAGAAAACATAAGGTATTTGAAGAACCTTTAAAAAGTCTTTGTGCTAATTCAGGTTAGGATTTAGTTAAGATTGCTTTTCTAGTAACAATTTTTTAAAACAGTGTATAGCAGCGGTTCTCAACCTGTGGGTCGCAACCCCTTTAGGGGTCGAACGACCCTTTCACAGGGGTCGCCGGGTACTCGTATGTGGGCGTATCTGCATGTGGGCCTGGAGATGGATAGAGGAGCCGTGTCTTGGTTCCTAAGACCATCGAAAATATGTGTTTTCCGATGGTCTTAGGCGACCCCTGTGAAAGGTTGAGAACCGCTGGTGTATAGGAACAGAACAGAGAGAAATGTCTAGAAACAGTGAGCTTTGCACCCATGCTTTAATCTGAAAGCCTTCAATCAATGACCAAGTAAATTTTGTTCTCTAATATCTAGAGCGCGTGTATGACAAATGAATTTGTAATACAGATTATTTGATAAACAACAAATCATGGTTATTTATTTTTTTTTTTTTTACTTTTTGAATAAAAATCACTGTCGCAGTGATTGCTAACCAGTGTCCTATAATGAATTCAATTTTAGGTACTCAACAAAATGAAAACCCTCCTGTCTATCCCAATCTCTGAATGCTTTGCTGAGAAGTATTAATCACAGAATAGAGAGAGAACATGGGTATTAAGGCTTGTTTGGGCCTTGTACTATGTGCAGGAATCCTCCCAGCCCACTTCCAGTCATGGGCAGCTCACTGCCTCAGAAGGGACCCATCCATGGCTGGCTAGTGCTGTGGATTAGAACATTCTCCGTTGTATTAAGTTGAAATCCATCCATCTGGTCCTGGTCCGCTGTGTGGTCCTGACCTTCTTTCAAATACAGGAAATTAGCAGTCTACCCTCTCTCTGGCTTTTTGTTTTCTAGACTAAACAGTCAACAGGCATATATGTGTCTGGAATTAGAAAGGGAGAGGAGGAGGAGGAAGGAGGATAAAGGACTGTTTTGGGAAATTTTGAGATTTGGGTAGGAGGTGCAGGATTGAGAGAGGTTGAGATTGTTCACTGAGGGCATGTAAAGTGAGAAGAGGGCCGCGGACAGAATCTTGGGGAGCATTAGCAATCAAAGGATAGCTGGAAGGGTCAGATCCCAAGGGCAGGCTGTGGCAGTAGAGGAGGAAGACAACCAGGTGAGCACCACTCGAGCCACACGTAAGAAGAGAGTTTTAATAAGGAAGGAGTGACCATCTTTTATAGAGAGAAGCCAAGTCAGAGGAAGTCTCATAGGGTATTTTTGGATGTGGGAGTTAGTGCTCACATAATGTAATGACTTGGCCAGGTGTGGGGTGGGGACATGGGCATTGCAGGCTAAAACGTTTTTAGGGATGTGTGTGGCCTCCTGAGCTGCTGCCTCTGGCACTACTGTTTCTCTTGACTGGGAGGCAATGGTGGCTTCTAGCCAGCTTCTCTCCGAATGTGTGAGCCAGGCTTGGAAGTAGCAGTGATGGGAGAAAAAAGGAGGGAATGGAGGAACAGATGTGGACAGAGGCTGCTGGAGGAATATAGGTACTAAGGGAGGAACAAAAGACAGAAACTTTTTTATTTTTTTTATTTTATAGGGGAACAGTGTGTTTTTCCAGGACCCATCAGCTCCAAGTCAAGTAGTTGTTTCAATCTAGTTGTGAAGGGTGCAACACAGCAGGAAAGAACTGGCAACCTTGGTGTGATGAACACTGCGATTTAACCAACTGAGCTAACCGGCTGCCCCCAAAAGAGAAACTTTTATTCTGACATTACTTTCAAATAATATCATTTACCAAGAAAGAAATCATAACTGACCACAGCAAAAATCTTGGGTGACCGAAAGGAGAGTAAGAATGTGTTTATCAAGTGTGGCTGGATGACATTTGAGATACGCACTTGTTTCTCTCACTCCCTCTCTCGTGAGAACAGGCAGTTGGCCCTCTGCTCTTTATCTTAGTGGGATGCCTAAGGGTCCATGGAAGGGTTGAAAACAGCCAAGAAGTATTTCTAGCTTTTGTTTTACAAAAAGGGATTTTTTTGGGGGGGTGGGGTGGGTGTGGGGTAAGGAGGCAAGGGGATTTTGAACCAACAGATTATGTTTCTTG